ATAACCGTAAGGTGTTCTTTAATATAATCCTAATGTACGTGATTAAATCCGTACTACATTCTTACTAACACCTCCTCCACTACTAGTAATTAAAAGTACTCTTAAAAGAGCAGTCATCCTTGAACTCCGGTGCCCCCCATCTCGGATGCTCCGGTATCTCCTCTATCCTGATCTTCTTCGGGGTCTTCCTCTCCCCTTGGCTCAGCTTCAAGTACCATCGAAGTTGTGTTAGGTCCACAGTATGGTGGCCAATCCTGCACGCAAGAAACTTTCCTTGACTTGTCCTCCGATGCAACGCCTATTGGAATCAACTCCCTGGTCTCCAATCCCGTCTTCTTGGTCGGCCTTCGTAGGGGAATCCCCGGAATAACCTTCCTAGACACTTAACATCAGTACTTTCTAAACGAACCGTAAAGGAATTCAACGAATCCTAATCCAAAAGCTCTAAACAAGGGAAAACGCTACGCGGAAGTCTTATACGATAGAATCCTAGAGACACTTGAACCTGGAGTGCTCTGATACCAACTATGATACCCCTCGGATCCGAGACACGGGTTGATCAGGCCCAGGCCCAAACCCGAGGGAATATCAAACAATTAAAGTATTTTAAAGCGAACACAGATGACAAAATGAATTTAATAAATAAAGGTTAAGATGGAAGAAACTAAAAGTAAAATCCTTTATAATTAAATATTTAGAATCTGATAATCCAAAACTCCATCAGTTTAACAACTTGGGAATCCATCTTTAGTGGACCCCTAATAAAAATCCAAACTGAATGAAAATAAACTGAAGATAAAATCCAAATCAAATATCTGGAAAGAAGTCCTACATCGTCGGTAGAATGGAAGATCTTCTCTGCCCAGCACGAACAAGCTCAAGCCTGGAACTGACGTACACCTAGAAAAATAGGAGTGGGTCAGGCCCACGAACAAGTTCTAACCTACTACAATCCAAGCAGAGACTCGATACGCATATACACTCTAACCAACTAAACAATAACTATATAAGTCGTGTATATATATATATATATATATATCCATACTAAGGGACATTCACTGGACTACAGTAAGGGTCTCAACCTGAATAGAAGGCAATATGTGAAAACGCACCCAAAGGTGGGCATGAGTACCTAGACCTAACAGGGTACACCTCAATCTACTATAGTCAGCTACGCATCCACTGCATATACGCACCCTAACCAATAAGTCTGAGACTCAAGCTCCTCCCGTGGTACCATAAACATATATTTAAAATCCGTTCATAACAATCCATAATAAATCTAGTAAGTCATTCAGCTTATTCAACTACACAGACTTAACATAGATAACCAGTAATCTAGCTAGTCATTCAGCTTGTGCAGCTTCTTTGACTTAGCCTAAATATAAGTAGGATTTATTTTTAATCCATTCCTTTATTCCGTATAGGTAGGATATAGCAATTTTGAGCCAAATCCAAACCTAGTATGTCACTGTCCCATACCGGTGCATACAAACCAATCCATCCGGCAGTTAATAGAATAAATAAAAATATAACTATCAACCAATCCATACATTCCACAATTGACAATAAAACACTAAGTATAAATATCAATTGTTCCATATTAAGCATGATAAAATAATTGTCAATTAACAAGCTTAATCCATACTACTCTGCAAGGTCCACTAATTGATAATAATACATCAAGTATAAGCACCAATGATTCCATAATAAGCATGTTAAAATTCTATAACTTAACAGGCTTATAACTACTACTTTCCAAGATCCAATATTTGATAATTTATCACATACATGCAAACATCAATTATCCCCACAAAACATGCTAGAGCAAAGTATATATATATAGAAACATACTGATTTAAGTCTACTCTAACAACCTCTCATAATTGACAACACATCTAATGTATGCAACTGTCAATCTATCCACAGCAAGCAAAATTAAATATTTGTAACCTTGCATGCTTATATAGAATTTCTGAACCATAATATCTGTATTCAATTCTCAAGAATTGCCATATAAAGACTTAGCAATTTAACATCTTTTACATCTGAAAACTGTAATCTAGTTTAGTTAAACTTTACCCATTATTCAAGAATGAACCTCAACTTGTTTAATTTGTTTTAGTTTGTTCCCTGAAGTTTTTATAAGCTTTTAGAACATCACTAAACACTCCATTACAGCCTCCAACAGAATCTGAAATTACCAAAATCCAAGTCTCGTAGCCCAAACAGTTGCCCAAAACTCAGAAAAATGGAAAAATTGGAAAGAGCCTGCTCCCTCAAAGAGGGAGCCTTCTCTTTCTTTCTTGGAGCCGGCTCCCACCATGGGGAGCTGCCTCCTTGCCTTCTAAAGCCGGCTCCCTCTAAGAGGGAGCCTGCTCTTTCTTCTGGGGAGCCTTCTCCCCTTTTGGCTCTCCTCTGTTCTTTGTCTCTTCCACCTCCGGCGGTTCTCTGATGGCCTATCCTCCACTCCTAGGGTGTCTAGGTATTTAAACCAAGTTCCAGCATGTTCAAGAGGCAACCTAATTCGTTATACAACTACCCACATCAAACTAATCAAGTATTGTATACCAAGAACTGCAACCGATTACTTTAGCGTTCAAATTTACTTACTGCTTCAGACAATCCAAGCTTACAAACAAATTAATTTTAGTGTTATTACAAGGTGTTTCTGATTAATCTAACCCCTTATACACCGACAGACAAGAACTAAATCAAGACATGTGGAAGAAACAGTATACAACAAATAATTCAAAACATACAAACACGTTCAGTTTTTTTTTTTGAAGCATTCAAACATATATTAAATTTTGATTTTAAACTTGATTAAATCCTAGAGTTGCATTAGGAATGTAAAAAACACGAGCCTAAGAGATAGAGATAATTTTAGAACTTGCCTTACACCGACGTCTTCTTAAAATCCTCCGGCGAACTCTCTGCTTGCTCTCACTTTGCCTCCACAGAATAACTTACGTTTTGTTTTATTTTGTTTTAAACCCTAACCCACCATATTATGCATATTTATAGGCTTTGACATTAAACCATAATCCATGCATAACTATAGGTCTAGCTACAATTATAGTCGGCCCAACCAATTAATTTAAGTAATTAAAATAACACAAATATATAATAAAATTAAAACTATTTAATTAACCCAATTACACTTAAACCATTAATGCCAATTAAATAATTAAAACACTAACAAGGAATTCCAATTAAATAAGTAAAAACAAATATCATTTAAATAAATTAATCACCACAAAAGAAAACAATTAAACACCTAATAAAAAATAATGACACATAATCAAATAAAATGCACTTAAATAATAAATTAAATACCATTAAATACCAGGAATATCCTTTTTAAAATTAGGGGTATTACAAGTTACATCATCATTCTACTTTATGTTGATGACATGCTAGTGACCGAATCTATTTTGAAGAAGCAAATGTCTAGTGAGTTCGAGATGAAAAATCTTGGTGCATTAAAGTAAATTTTTGGGATGAGGATTACTAGGGACAAGAAAATTTGTACTTTGCAGTTGTCTGAGACTAATTACATTAAACAAGTTTTTAAGCAGTTCAATACGAGCAATGCTAATGTACTGAGTATACCGTTAACTAGCCATTTTTTGTTATCCAATGAACAGTGTCCGAAGACAGAGGATAAGAGAAACTTGCCTGGTATGTGCAGAAGGCAATTTCCTATTCCGTTTTGGAAGACTGAAGACTTATGGAGGAAGGCTGAAAATTTGGGGATGAAGTTGTGGATTATTAGGCATATATTTAGAGTTATAATAGATATGGTAACTCCTTGGTAAGTAAGTTGTGAAATTCTTGTCCAACAAGAAATTGGGTTTGAAGATTCTATAAATAGTGATAGGATTAAGAGAAGAGAAGGAGATAGTAGGGAAGATGTAGGGTTTGAAAGGGAGAATGTTGTGAGGTGATGAAAGAATGCATGTAATTTCTGTGGATTTAGCCCGGAAAAGGTGAATGAGTGAGTGAATATGTTAGGTTTTGACATCTATGGTTGTATATTCTCTTCCTTGATACATAATAGTGAAATCTCTCTCTCCATGAATATGATAGGTAATTACTGATTGAAATTATAGAAATAGGAATGTAGAAATGGGATGGAAAAATGATATTAAGGATATTCCACTTGAGTTTGGAATCAGTACCGTTTACACGCAAGGTGTTGATCAAAATACTTCTCCCCCTTCTTCTAACCTGATGACACTTTTAAATAAGCATACTCCTAACGACGTGATAACATAAAATATGGTACTTCTATCAACCTACAACCAGGGAATGTTAAAGATAACATCTCCTAATAACATGAAAATGACCCAACAAAGATAACCTAATGAAAGATAAACACAACCCACACAACCCAAGTACAACTCTTCCCTTTACCCCTTATTCTTATCCTATTAATAAGATTACCCCTGATATTTAGAATTAGGAGTCCTATTCCAAGTCTTCGAAGCAGAGTCCCTAATAACATAGCCCAAGAGTTGGATGAATCATATTAAAATATTGTGTTGTGCATATATGAATTTTTATCTCCATATATGTTTATGTGATGATCGATATGATAATGATGTTTTCGCTGTGTATGATGAAAGAGAAAGGCCAAGAGCTGATTAGATGAAGTTAATATTTCAATGGGAATATTGAACATGATAAACTAATTTTTCTTGTTTTACTAACTTAACAACTAACTGTGGAACAAGGCAGTAAGCCAAAAAAAAAAAAAAAATGAATTAAGTGCAGTAATGAGACATTAATCAACATTTAAATAGTATGTCCTTAGTCGCAAAAATTATAGTAAAAAGGAATTAAAAATTTGGTACATGACATACATCATACATGAGTGTAAGAAGAGAAAAAAATGGTACAACACATACATCATACATGAGTGCAAGAGAAATAAGTTTAAGAACAGAAAAGAAGAAGAAGAAGAAGGGGAGAGAGAAATCAGGGAACTTTGAAGGGAAAATAAAAAATTAGAATTTGATTGGAGAAGGGGAATGCCCTTAAAAAAAAAAAAAAACTTACACGGCAAGGCCAGGGGTAGTTGCAACCCTCTTCTGACTTTGTTTATAATTCTTGCATTGTTTATAAATAAATAGAAATTGTAAAGTTATTTTTTTCTTAATTTATCATTTTATTTAAACACTTATTTTTTATACAGGTCATAAAGCTTTACCAAGTACAATTTCCATCCATCATGTAGCAAGTACACTAACAAGAGATCGAACATGGCGTTGCAACAAGAAGTAGGGGATATTTTTTGTGGACACTTATACCAGGGGCTTCAGTGATGTCAAAATCCTCTTCTGTTGCCCCATCCGGCAATGCAAAATCAAACTTATGAACAAGATTTGCTAATGCAAGCTCATTGACACTTGTGGCAAATTGGATGCCCGGACAACCCCTACGGCCAGCTCCAAATGGAATAAACTTGAAGTCATGCCCTTTAAAATCTATAGAAGTATTCAAGAACCTCTCTGGCTGGAAATCTTCAGCGTCTTCCCACAACAATGGGTCTCTCGCAATTGCCCACGCATTAATAAACACTTGTGTGCCAGCTGCAATGTCGTAGTCCATTACTTTGACATCTTGGGTTGATTCCCTGGGAACTAGTAATGGGGTTGGAGGATGTAACCTTAAGGACTCCTTCATCACTGCTTTCAAGTATTGCATTTTCTCTACATCATCCTCCGTTATTTCTAGCTTGCCTCTGGCAATTACTCGCACCTCGTGTTGTAGTTCTTTCATGGCTTTCGGATGTCTCAAGAGCTCTGACATCGTCCACTCTAGAGCTGTGAATGTAGTATCAGTTCCAGCCCCAAACATATCCTACAAAAAAATAAAAGATAGTTAATAGAGGTTAATTGAGGAAGAAAAATTAAAAAATAAAAAAGGAGCAAAATATTTGGAGTTTTTCTTTTCTTTTCTTTTCTTTTTTTTTTTTTTTTTTCTTTTTCCCGGTATGCACAAACACTTAAAAAATGATTGCTTATAAAAGTTTAATGTCATTAAGCTTGTGAAAATATTTTTCAAAGGGAAACAATAAGTCCGTATAAATTATTGAATAAGAGTAATTACAAAGAATAATCTTTTTCCCGGTATGCACGAACACTTAAATTATTTATTTACGTAGTATTTATTTTTCTTTTCCTGCAAGTAATAACCATAGAAAATGTCCATTGAGTAGTTCATTACATGTGACTACTTCTCATGTGAACGTGGACTAGCTATATGTTGGTTTTACGGTTTTACATCCTGTAATCAAAATGTTTTCGTTGATTAAATTTTGAAGAAGAGAGGTAGTAAACTTACCAAGATGATAGCTTTGATGCTGTCTCTATGAAGAAGAAAGTCATCCGTGTTCTCTCTTTGAATCTCAAGCAAGACATCCACGAAGTCCTGGTGTTTTTTATCTTGATCACCACTCCCACCATCATTGCTCTCTTTTTTCTTACTATCAATATGATCTTCAATTACACCCTCTAAAAATTCATCGAGCTCTTTAGCAATTTTCTCGACTCTAGCATTTAAACCGCTGATTTGATTCAACCACACAAGCCAAGGAATATAGTCCCCCAAATTGAATTCACCCAATAGTTCCCCAGTATCTCTCAAAAGATCCTTAAACTTTCTACCACTTTTTGATATTTCACCGTACTTCCTCCCTAAGGCTACCCGACACACTACATCATTCGTAAGTGAAACAAACATTTCACTTAAATCCACCGGTGAAGAAGAAGAAAAAGCAGCCTGTTTGATCTTCTCGATCAAAAGGGCTGTTTCTTCTTCTCTCACTCTACGGAAAGACTGAACCCTCCTATTACTCAAAAGGTTGAGCACACAAATGCTTTTTACTCGCCTCCAATACTCTCCATAAGGAGTGAACGCAACGTCCTTATCATAGAAAACTCTCCTGGCAATGCTTGATTTAGGTCTGTTTGAGAAGATGAGATCATGGGATTTCATGATCTCGCGAGCTGCATCAGCAGAGGAGACAATTAGAACTGGCTTGCTGCCGAAGTGAAGCAGCATGAGTGGGCCATATTGTTGAGCTAATGATCGGAGGGAGCGATGAGGGAACACGCCAAGTTGGTGGAGGTTTCCAATAACTGGGAGCTTTGGTGGAGAAGGTGGCAGATTTCTTTTGGTTTTAGCAGAGGACAACCATTTTGAAAGGAAGAATATGGATAACAACAATGGAGGGACATAGTAAAATAGAGTTTGCAAAAAGAGCAGCATAACTTGTTCCTCTGGAGAGCTAAATCCAAGGATCTCCTTATGAACAAAGCAATCTACTCCGTGTATGGTTTCTACTACTAGAATGGGATGAATGGGCATATTTATACCTGGGATAAGTGGGCCCTATTTATATCTTCTATTGGATGAATGCATTTGGCAAGCGGTAACATTTAGAAAATCAATTCTAATCGTCACATGATAATTGGTTTTTTCTGTTGGATGTAGGCATTTGGCAAGAGGTAAAATTTAGAAATATGTAATCATGGCGTATTCTAATTGGTTTTTTCCATTTGATTTTACATGTAGAGACAATGACTATGCACATGAAGGATGAGACAAAGGAAAAATTAGGCTAAACAAACAAAACCTTAAAAGCTAGAGAACACAAACTTTGAGAACCATCCAAAATATTCAAGACAAATCTACAGGTGGTCTTATCATGTGAGAGTCAGTACCAAGAAAAGGTGGGGTCCAACGGAACATTACCTCATATTACTGGAAAATGGGAAAAGGATTCGTATCTACCAAGGGGGACTCCGGTATGGTACCTTCAGAGTGTCGTAAAATTTTCAAGTTAAAAAAATTCTAAATTAACTGTATGTGTTGGTACAAGAACCCTAGATATAAGATATGAATGCGAGATGATTCAAATAAGTCAGAAAGAGCAAGAAGGGTAGTTTAGTGGTACTTCCCCAGTAGAAAGATATTTAAGTTGCAATTTCATAGGATTGCAACTCAAGATCTGCTTCCAGCACTTTTTTTTTTGAAATCGTTGGAAGATAAACATTCTAGAAGAAAAATATCCATATCCAACACATTTTTAAATTCAGATATAGAAATGCGTTTTAAATTTGATAACTTGGAATTAAATAGAATTAGATTTCAAATTGGATCTTTGTAAAGTTTTCATTTTAGTGCGACACAAATAATGTTGAGGTTGTGGAGCCTAAATCACAAGTTTTGATGCAAGTATTATTGTGTCGATCGAAGTTTCGATCGATCAACCCAAGCCCCACTTCAATTGACAGAATTATGTTTGAGATCCCGAGAGCAAGAAAAATCTCGCTGGAACCTGACTTCTTTTGATCGATCGAAATCATAGCTAGTTTGATCGACATATAATAAGAAGGTCCAATATTTGTTTCCCAAATTGAAGATTTGTTTCCAAAAAGCTCTAAACTTGGGGTGTAAGTTGTTAATAAGTATTGGGTTGTGTATCAACCCTACTGTGTCATGACGTGTGTGACATATTGTGGAGAGAGAGATATACACGTGACAACAAAATTTTTCAATTACAAATTTATATCTCACAGACTAATGAAGCAAGAGCAAGTCTAGATATAGAGAATTCACGATTCAGGTTATTCCCTCTCCAGTGGTAAGCACATCAAGCTATTAACTCTATCCAAGAATGTGGGAATGTATAGAATCTGCAATGTGCTTGAAAAGATGTCCTCATGGGAATAACAAAGGAACATTTGAAAAAAAAAAGATGGTCATGTGATTCACGTTCCGTATTGCACAGAACACAAAGTAATGTGTTCAAGTGTGAAGTACGAGTCGATCTATTCAAGGTAAATGAGTGTTTAGGAATTGTTGGACCATCTCAGCAGATGAGGCCACGGAAGTGAAGATATATGATGGTTTAGGAACTTCATAGTATTTGCTATTGAAAATTCCCCAGATAAAGAGGGTCCCCATTTGTATTTGTCTTCTCTGTGAGGAAATGGGATCGGGAGGCTAATGGTTTGATGTAGATCACAAATTTGGGTTCTTGCCACAAGACACTTAGTGGCAAAAACTTTCAAATTTCGTGGCGAAAGCCTTTTAGCCACAAGAAATAGCTCGTGGCTCGGTCGTGGATGTAGACCCGTCACAGAATGCCAATAACCTCGACTAAAAATTTTCGTGGCAAAATGTGGAACTTTTGCCACATATTTGAACTCGTGGTAAAATACCTTCTATTGCCACAAGCTATATTGTGGATTTTTCGTGGCAAGTAGCAATCCCGATATAGGAATTAATCGTGGCTAATTCAATAATTTTGTCACAAAAATATTTATCGTGATAGAATAGGTCTTTTCCTACGTAATTTATTCGTGATTATAAATTTAATTGCCCACGAATATATGTCGTGGCAAATATCCAAAATAGGCCGCAAAGTTTATTCGTGACTATAATTTTAATTGCCCACGAATATACACGAATATATGTCGTGGCAACTATCCAAAATAAGCCACGAAGTTTATTCATGGCTATAATTTTAATTGCTCACGAATATATGTAGTGGCAATTACCCAAAATAGGCCACAGAGTTTATTCATAACTATAATTTTAATCGGTCACAAATGTATGTCGTAGCAAATATCCAAAATAGGTCACAAAATTTATTCGTGGAAAATGTTCCCATTTTTACAATATATTAATTTTTTTTTGAATTTATATATATTAATAACATATTAATATGGCACCTTAAAACCTAAAAATTATTAACATTATAAACAATATCAAAAATAAAATTTAATCACACATCAAAATGATTATACAAATAAATAAATACTTGATATTACATATGCCACACCAACAAAAAAAGTATTGCTTACAAAATATACAATAAAGCCCATCGCACAAAAAATGAGTCTTAGCATCTGGACAAAAACAAGCTAGTATCCTAAATATAATGTTCCAAGATCTTTCACAAAAATGAGTTATAGAATCCTAAATAAAGAGTTCAAAGATCTGGACATAAACTACTTAAACCGTATTAAACAAAAAAAGCTTGAATTCTTATAAAATGCAAAACCAACAATGAATAAATACAATTAGTGCTTATGTCAAAAAACTGAACAAAAAGCTAAGTTTTCAAAATATGCTACATGAAAGAAAAATATAAATAGAAAATAAGAACACCAATAGAAAAGATAAATCAACTCATCTGGAATTTTCAGCAAAGTTGTTCTGAATTTCAATGTAGACAATCATTAAACATCCTATCGCCATCACCGCCACCACCACCTCCTCCGCCTCCGCCTCCTCCTTTTTCCTCCCACTTCTTCATCTTCTTCTTTGTACACCCCACCTTCCACTTGTACTGCCACTATAGCACCATTTCTAATGCAAATGTATCCAACTTTGATTAAAATTCCTAGGTGAAACTTTTCATTAATTTATTTTATCAAATATTATGTATCAAGAAAAATAGGGTGACTAAAAGATTATTGGAATTATTGAGTCGTTGATTATTTTGGTTCCTGTCTTAATCTATGATAGAAATCCACATTAATTTCTCCTTAGATATTGTTGGTTAAGATGTATCTTTATTTTCTATTATTACTTATCTTGAATTCTTCATTGGCTGCTTTACTTTTACTATTTTTCCTTCTTGAATGGTGGACTGAGTAGACCTAAAAATGAAACAAAATGCCAACATAATTATATCATTACCACATATATGTCAAGCATTGCTTCTGCCCACTTGCTATGTTAATTATTCTTTTAATTTAAGTTGGGGAAGACAAAAGGTATCCATGTAACACAAAAAACTTCAAAAATTTTGAACACATTTGAATATATATAGCACGCAATAGATAGCTAAGCTCTTTAATGCAAGCCCAATGTATTGGTAGTGTTGATATTTTTTTTAGTTGATAGTGCTACCAATTCTCAATAATATTGCACCCTTTTCATTTTCTACCCTTTGTTGTGTGATGTGCAAATTTTAGACTTGACCTTTTTATTTAGCTGACAATTTTAATTTATAAATTTTTTAGATAGTCACGCTGCATTTTCTATCTGAGTTTTTTTTGTTTTTTTGTATGCAAAATAGCTTTAAACAACCTTCTACTTCAACAATTAAATATGGATCAGATTAGTTCGCACTTAGGTTTCATGAACTTCCTACAATAAACAAATAAATCAGAAGGAAGCCCAAAAATCTGTTTGAAATAGTTTTTCCCAGCAAAACGTACTTCCTTTTGAAAATTCATAAAAAATTAAATTCTCAACCAATTTGCATGAAACCAAAGTCCAATGGAAGCTTAAAGACTACTATATTTTTCTTCTATCAATTTAAATTTCTTATCAATTAAATCAGGTTTGAAGGAAAAGATAGGAAAAATTCTGCCCACAAAACAGTTTTGACAGCATGTTAACATCAACTTTGAAAATCCATAATACTTTCAAAATTCATTCAATTTGAGCCAAACAAAAACCTGTAAACTGATTAACAATTGTACTTTCATATCCAAAATTTAATTTAAAAGATAACAGTTCTAAGTATAGAGATTTCAGTTCTAAAATCAGCATTTTTTGTTTCATTTTCCAGCACAACTCTTCACTTAATTCTAACAATTCTTCAATTAATCTCACTCCATTAACAAGAAGGACAAAACCTACCATACCTACAAATTACAATCTATATATGTCATAAAATCGAGTGGTTTGATGATAAAACTGTACTAATCCATTTTTTAAAATCGTCAATCGATAAGGAAAAATAAAATTTGAAAACCATCAAGTCCAACTTTCAAAAAGCATCAATTCACCCACAGAGTATCTCTAAAGATTCCTCCCAATAATTAAACAGATATATAATATATCTTAATTTAGTTGTAATTTGAACCAGAAATGTAGTCTTTGAAAAAAAAAAAAAAAACCCAGAAATGTACTCTGAATTCTGAAATCCATATACTACATGCCCCAAACAGAAGGAAAAGAGACGTCACTACCCCACCCTAACCCCAATTTTGTACTACACATCAAAGCTCAACCCTAATTTCGTAAATACATCAACAAAATTGAAATCTCTAACCTGTTCGTAGGCATCCTCTTCAAAAATAGAACTCCTTTGGCCAACTCTAACATCAAAATCGCATAGATAAGTCACGTATTCATCAAATGAAAAAAAAAATCAAGAATTGATTAAACAACAGATCAATACACAAAAAAGCACACACACATATATATATAAACATTTTAATCGCCGAAGAGGGTCAGGGCACACATATATATATAAACATTTTAATCGCCGAAGAGGGTCAGGGAGTGAGAAGAATAAGAATCAAAATTTATGTATCCATTTTAATCGATCGAGTAAGTTTTGCGAACAAACACACACATATATATATAGATATACGTGTATAAATATAGAGAGAAATAGATTGGAAATAAACCTAGCAGCAGCGGTCGTCTGCAAATCGCTGAACACACCTTCCCGTCTCTAATGGAGGATTCCAAACTTAGGGTTTCTTCTTTAGGGGTTAGGGTTTGCTCCGATAGCCAACTACAAGAGGCTTGATGGAAAGAGCGAAAACATTTTCACAAGTTAGGGCTTCGATCCTATCATGAAGTGACTGTGAGTGAAGGTGGAGCAAGAGATTCGGTCTGAATAGTCTTCCATAATTTATCTATGAGATGAGATGGAGAGAGGCTGGAATATATTGATAATTCCATCGTCCAAGTAGGGATCGAATAAAAAACTAGGGCTTGAGTTCTATCAATACAGAGACGGTTGAGTTTGGCGAACAAGATAAGAGAAAGGGCCAACAATACAAAAACAATTAAAGGTTGGGTTAGGAACGAGCCGAACGGCATAGATGTGGTTTTCAATTAATTCAGCTAGCGCGCGAGGCCTTAAAGGGCGGGAATTTTAATTTTTTTAGGTTTTTGGAACAAAATATGAAGAATTTCTTGCAAAGTGTTTATTAAAAAATAAATAGAATTGCTTCTTAATTTAATAAAAAAATATTCATCTATTTGTATTTTATTTTATTTATTAAATAAAATAATTAAGGTGGGAATTTAAAAATTTTTAGGTTTTTGGGACAAAATATGAAGTATTTCTTGTAAAATGTTTATTAAAAAACTAATTTTCTCATATAAATAGATTTGTTTCTTAATTTAATAAAAAATATTCATCTATTTACAAAATAAAATAATAATTTTTTTTTTTTTTTTTATAATTGCTTATAAACTTAAAAAGATATAAAACATGGGTCATACCCATTTTTAGAGTTAAACCCGACAAATCTATTTTTTTTTTCTCTCTTTGCTCCAATCTGTTTATCTCGCTTCGTCTACATCTTTCTTCGGCTCTAGATTCATCTTAAGACTTTCCCAATCCCATTATGGCACCTCTTTATGAGTGGAGAGCAAACCGGTACAAGAAGCACACCGCTTCTAATCTTCTTACTAAGAGAACAATCCTCTCTTAGACTTCTGCTGGATCACACCGATCCTTACAATTGATTGTAGATAAAAATTTGTTGTACAAGAATATATCTCTCAAAGATTTATATGCAAATCAAAGCTCATAACTAGAATATGAATGAATACAAATGAAGCTCAATACTCTATGAATGATATGTATGAGAGGATGAATAAGTTAAAGAACAAAAGCTCTTTGATACTTAAGAAGGTTTCTCTATTTCTCTCGATCCAATGCATCCCCACAATGTCCAAAACATTGTGTATTTATAACCCCAAAAAAATATAGCCATTAGGGGTAAATTCATTTTTCCAAATCTGAAATTTTAGTTCATCTAATCAGTCACATGAGCTATCTGTTGGTCTAAAGTGATTGGATATGTATTATATCTGTTCGGACAATTGGAGCATCTGATCGATTAGATTATGGAAGTGATTGGTAGGATCAGATTTTGTTCATTGCACTTTCTAAAATTTGATCCATCTGATCGGTTACATAAAGCATCTGATCGGCCACTTGGACACATCTGATCGGTTACATTGGTGAACTGATGGGTCAATTGATAAACCACAAAAGATGCGAGTTCACGGGTTTTAATTGGCATCCTATCAATAGTATAACTGATCTAATCGGTCAAATGAAAAATAAATAAATTTTCTGTTTTAGTCATCTGATAGATAGCAGGGGCTGTTACTTTTGCATACCTTATTTCCATTGAAAATATTTAAGTAAATAAGGAAGTACCCCCTATTTAGATTCAATAAAAAATACAAGAAAATTAAAATCCAACTAAATCAAAATGTAAAAATTCAGTTTTAGTACAAATTGGTCCCGAAAGTTTTGGTAAAACTTGATCCTCTATGTTGGCCTATGTAGAATTGATGAAAAATCCCATAAAATCAATTTAAACTATTTAAAGTGTAAGGAGTAATTACCGGAAAAAATTATTTTGAAAATATCTTTATTTCAAAAAATCATATTTTTCATACTCGGCCAAAAATCCAAGAAACAGTTTTTCATGAGAAATGCCCAGATCGTAAAGTCATTTACCAAGTCATAGTAACAAAGGCTTGGTGGATGAAAAAGTAAGTTCAATGCCTTAGACTTTACTTTCTAGAGACCAAAATAAAACATGTGATTGATGTGCATGGTCTTAGCATTTCTAGCTCAAGTATTGAGTTCTTTCAAAGCTTATGCAACCTTGAACTAACTCATTCTTTTAGTAATGACTTCATGTGTCTATTGCTAGTGGATATAGAAACATGCATGTGAATGATGATATGATATGCATGGTCCTATAGAGATGAGCTTCAAATAGATTCATAAATACTTTAACATTGAATTCTAAACACTCACCCTACTATCTACCCCTTTCTTCAAGCTTTGTCCTATATGATTGCACGTTTAGGCTTTGAGGTATTCTTGTTTTCTTCCAATTTCTTTGAGTTGCTTGTTTGCTCATTAATTGTTGTCTAACCTATCTTTCGATAGACTTGTATTTGGTTCCTTGCAACTTTATGTCTCTATATATCCATTTTTTTCCATTGATGTGATCTTTATTGCTTCATTGATGTCATTTTTTGAAGATGAATCATCTATAACACTCAATGTATATAATTAAACATTAGTCTACAAACACCATTAATGGTTTGTAATCATCAAAATCACTAGATTGTCCTTAGTTAAAAGTATTGTGCCAACAAAATCTTACGTACTTTTAAGATTTTTTATTCCATTTAATTCCTAAATCACTAAATCTTTTATTTATACCCTTACTAAATAGAAGTAAAATTTTGTAGTTGTAAATTTATTCAAGATTTGATATATGATTTATATTTTTTATTATATCTTTAATTTTTAATTACTTAAAAATATTGCATTATGGATTTATATATATATATATATATATATATATATATATATATAATAAAATAATTAATTTATATATATTTATATATAATAAAATAATTAATTTAAATTCAATATAAGAATATTTAGTACATTTTTTTTTTAATCTTTTCTATATGATAAGGAGTGGTATTTTAAAAAGGTCAAATTTAAAGAAAATATCATGCTGGAGTTTTATTAACAATTAATTAATTTGCTTAAGGATTCGATGTTCTAGGCCCCTTATTTAAGGAATTACAAAAACTAAATAAATAATAATAATCAACAAAGATATCCTAATTGCCACGAAAACAAATTCGTTACAAAAATGGCATTTCACCATGAGGATTGAAAATTTGTGGCAAAATAGTTCCTAATTGCCATGAAAACAAATTTGTTGCAAAAATGGCATTTCGCCATAAGGATTGAAAATTTGTGGCAAAAGATACTATTTGCCACAAATAAAGCATCATTGTGAATAATTAATAGATTTGGCACGAAAATAGTGACGTGGCAATAGAGCATATCATAGCCACAACTGATAATTCGTGGCAGGATCCATCTTTTAGCCACGAGAAAAAAATTTCGTACCAAAAAATTATATTTGCCACAAGAATAACATCATGGCAAATTGTAAAGCGATTTTCCACGAAAATATATACGTGCCAAAAGAAACATAAAATTGCCACAAATAGAAATTCGTGGCACAAATAGCATTTTGCCACAACTTTGTATGTCGTCCCTAATTCGTTGTAGCAAAATTGATATTTTACCACAAATTTTTAGATCGTCCATAATATTCGTGGCAAGAACTAGTATTTGTCACGAAAAATTTACTCCGTGGCGAACACTCATATATTAGCCACGAGAAGTTAATTTTGTAGCCAAAAGATACTTTTTGCCATAAAATTTTACGCGTGGCAAAAAATTTCGTAGCAAGAACCCAAATTTGTTGTAGTGTTAGGAATGAGAATTGTGATAGCATCTGGGAAGGACCATGTGGAACATGTGATGAAGGAGCTTGCTTTGGTCTTGCAATCAAAGGTTGAGTCATTAAGTTGTTGTGATGAGATTCTTTGGTGAAGTGGCCCAAGATGGCCTTCCTCAAATCAAAAGTTAGCCTTTTTACCATTTTTGCTTAAGAGAAAGAGTGAGAGAAGAGAGTAGAAGAGAGATAGAAGAGAGTAGAAGGGAGATAGAAGATGAAAAACTGAGTGAGTGAGAGAGAGAGAGAGAATAAGGAGAGAGATCTAAACAGGTTGTAAAGTGTGTTAAAATATATAAAAGGGTATTTTGGGGTTTTTAATGAAATTTTTATATCATAATTTAAGCTCAATGAATACATAGTATTTTTTAAGGATCACAAGATTGAAGGAGCAATTTGCACACATTTTTCAAATATTAAGAAGTTATATGCTCATACTAAACAGATAGGGGGTTGCTGCACATTTTTATATAAGAGGGAGTTTCTTGCACTTTACCCAAAAAAAAAATTATAATAATAAAAAAAAATTAACCCAAAAAAAAATTATAATAATAAGAAAAATTAAGAGAACTTTAAAGGGAAAAAAATTAGAATCGGATGGAAGAACATATTGCTCATTTTATTTTTTTAAAAAAGGGAGTCAAAGAAATCAAAAGAGTAAAAGAAAAAAGAAAGAAAATATATATAAGAGATATTTTGTAAACTTTAACCAATATACATGCATTAGCAAATGCTTCAATACTTCAGTGGGTTAGTATCTCCGGTGAACTTTGAAGTGTCAGGTTTTGACTCTCTATATCTACTAATTTAACTTATAACCTTCTTGCCTTGTAAAAAAAATACATACATTAAAAATATATATATATTGAAAGGGTGTGGGCCGTGTGGCTGGGTGTACGCTTCTCCTCTCCTCACGAGACTATGCCACTTCATCCCTACACCAAGGGACATGTGTCACGAGCAATGTAAATCTGTGATGGCAGAATCACTTTTATTTATTTTCTAATTCTTGTATTATTTATAAAATAAAATATTGTAAATATTTTTTTTTTCTTAATTGTTTATTTAAGCACTTATTTTTTCTACACGTCATATAGGTTTACCAAGTACAATTTCAAACCATTTATTCAGCAAGCACACACTAATCAAAAGAACATGGAGTTGCAACAGCAAGTGGTGGAAATTTTTTGCGGATGGTTATACCAGGAGCTTCGGTTATGTCAAAATCCTCTTCTCGTGTCCCACCAGGCGATGCAAAATCAAACTTACTAACAATATTTGCTAATGCAAGCTCATAGACAGCTGTGGCAAATTCGATGCCCGGACAACCCCTCCAGCTAGCTCCAAATGGAATCAACTTAAAGTCATGCCCTTTGAGATCTATTGAAGCATTGAAGAACCTCTCTGGCCGGAAATCTTTAGCTTCTTCCCACAAAAATGGGTCTCTCCCAAATGCCGAAACATTGATTAACACTTGTGTGCCAGCTGCAATGTCGTAGCCCATTACT